GTGATCGAGATGAGACTGAGTAGCAACTGCGTGAGGAGGTGGATAATGATGCAGTCACAAGTAGCAAGTCAACTGTTCAATGTGGACCATCCAACGAAGTAGGCGATACTGCCGATGCATACCCTCCAACTTATGAAGATTTTGAAAATAATTCTTTCTAGTGGTAGCGAACCAAAGTAGAAATTTTTAAAGCAAATGGATCTCTCATAAAACTTTTATCAGAACTTAAGAATCTAGCCATATGGCCTGCACTTTTATAAGTAATAGTGGACAAGTTACGCTAAAATTAATTTTTTTTAAATATTAAGACATTAATTTTGCTACCGTCTGAAAAGAAGATTTCTGAAACTACGGAAATTCCGTAGCAGTTGGAGGGTATGCCGATGTAGGCCGTATCCAGATCAAAGTGGGCGTTTTTGCCAAGGTAGGCGTGTTCACATCACGTCCGAAGGTCACCAATGTGGGGAGAGTAGTAACAGACCATGTCAACCGTCATCTATGAAAAGGTACCCCAACATAGAGTCGAGTTAACATGTCTTATATACTAGTGAATTGTAGTTGTAATTTTGTAGTGGTAGATACGCTACAGAGTCCGGATCCAAATTCTACTTTAAAAGTGCTTGAGAGAAATTTATCATATATATTTGAGAATTGAATCTGTAGTGGTTGACAAGTAAATAAAACAAACCAATTAAATTCATAAATTAAACAAATTCTTAGATATATATTTGCTACCACTTTCCAATTTTTAATAGATTTCATATTAAATAGTACTTTCACTAATTGGTTTACCCTCATAGTGGTCTGATCGGACAACTTACAAAAAACTGTGTGGAAGCTTTCAGTTTTAGGAGGCGGTGACGGGTTCGAATCCCGTCGTAACCCTGGGTGTATTCTTTGTGATGTCTTCCACTATATTGTGTTATCTGTCCTTTTACTTGACAAAGGTTTATAAGCCTGCAGGCCTACAAATGTAGGTTGTATATCAATATAATTAAGCTCTAAGAAAGTTAACCAATATTAGCCGAACATTAGAAAATTTTCGTTTGTAGTTCTCCACGGGTTTCGCACAATATATTGTCGAATCTGGAGCAATTGGCATCTCTGCGTTTTTCCAACAAAAATCAAAAGTTGATATTAAAAAACTACATTCTTCCTATTTTTCAGTTCTGTAATATAGCATCCGGTATTTTAGCCTTTTTCAACGACAATAGAGAGACTTTAGCAGGAGACCAGGAGAAAGATATCATTTCTAAAGGCTGGGCACTTTGATTTTACAGACCCTGCAAAAGCCTTTTTACTCTAGGTGTTCTAAAGTCTTGGAATAAAATGCATTGGCTTTCTCTTCATTTTCTTTTTGCATATCTTCACTGATGGCCTAGAAGTTATGTCTAGATTCCGTGAAATTAAGTCTTCTGCAGGAGAAGATTCTGAAGAGATTCCCACGACTTAAGCCAGAAGTACAACTAGTTTGGCTTTATTTTTATTGTGAAGTGTATTTTTCCTGTCAATAAGGTAAAGGAGAAATTCATCCGCAAGTCTGTTTAGCGTCTTCCTCAGGAGAAGATTTTGAACAGTTAGTTTTCCTACAAGTTTAGCCAAGAACACATCTAGTTTATTTTTATTTCCATTGTCGAATGTTTTTTTTCCATCAATAAGGTAAAGGAGAACTTCTTTTCTTTCTAAATAATGCTGTTAGCAATGTAAGTGTTCAGAAGTGGTACAATGCAAAAGTATTGTATTAGAAAGTGGTTTGGTTGTAAAGCTTAATCTGGCTATCAAGTCATGGAATAACAGCGTCAACGTATACTCCCATTATAGATAAGTTGCAACCATTACCCCTAAATGGAGATCGCAGAAGAAAAATGAAGAAACAAGGACGTATAATACGGTAAGAAGGCAATACCTGACCCAGGCCTGAAAGCGGGACAGAAAAGAGAAAATACTTGTGGGAGAATCATTTCAATATTAGATAATATTCGGGAGGAGTTAATCTATTCTCAACAATAACGATTGACTATAAGGAATTTTTTTTCTCGGCGAAGAAACAATTCTATATAAAAAAATTGTATCCGTTAAAAACAATTGGTAGTTACATACCTGGTAACTACTCCGGATTTTCCGGAGGATTTTATTTTCATATTTAAAGTGGTAGTAATTATATACTATTTTTTTTTTATAATCTTAATTTTTAAATGATATTGATCACCACTATTCTTACAAAAATTAAGCACATATATTAATATGCGTTACTATCATGGTTGTCAACTTAAGTTTTCTCAAATACAACGTATTTGTTTGATTAAAATTGAAGTTTTAATTCCATTTTAATACCACTGGGAAAAATGATAATGGAAGGGATTAAAAGTTACCAGGTATGTAGTTATCGATTTTTATTATTCCCAGAAAAAAACTAAAAAATGAAATTTATTTGTTACCAGTTTTTACTCTTTTCCGTCTCGATATATATGTATAGGCTTTCAGCCCTGACCTGACCAGCGCGCGGCGTTAGATGCTAAGACATCCTATCATGACTAGATTGACAGGTACTCATAATTGTTAATAATTCTGAAAATTCCGCAGAGATGCCAACTTGCTCCGGTCAGCAAATATATATTTTAAAGTGGTAGTTTATCAATTGTGATTCTTGGTTTAATAAATTTAATTCAGTAGATTGTTATCCACCACTATTTTTCAATAATTCGCAGGCTTATATAATTCTCCACTTTCATACCTGCCAACTCTCCCGGATTTTGCAGGAGATTTTATTTTCATATTTAAAGTGGTAGTAAATATAAACTATTTTTTCTTCTATAAATTTAATTTTTAAATGATTTTGATCACCACTATTGTTACAAAAATTAAGCTTATATATTAATATGCGTTACTATAGTGGTTGTCAACTTATTTTTTTTCAAATACAACGTATTTGTTTGCTTAAAATTGAAGTTTTAATACAACTGGGAAAAATGATAATGGAAGGGATTAAAAGTTGGCAGGTCTGCACTTTGACGTACATACGTCATGCTTTACCATTAAAAAAGCAAGCAAAAATAGTCAAATGTTTGCAAAATTTACTTAGTAGTTATTTACCGTTTTTTAAATATTTTTTGCTTGTCCGGAGTAGTTGGCATCTCTGATTCCATGAGAATTGTGCCACATTTTAAGCTTCCTATTTTACCTTTTGAATAAAAAATTTATTGAATTTCAGCACAGATATATAAATGCGTGATATTCTTATAATAGTATGTCAAAACTGAAACAGATTATAATATTTTTTTTCTTTTGCTAATGATTGTAATAACGGTTGACTTCGTTATAATAATGTGGCAATGAAAGAGCATAGGAAGTTCATTATGTGTCTGTTCATTTTTTACTCATTCAAGTATTTAGACAGAAACAGACAATTTAATAGAACTTGGTACCTAGGACTGCTATCGGCTATTCTTCCTTTTCATTGTGATAGTGCTATACAATTGCATCTAATTGAGGGTTTAACATGCAATTCCTCGACGTTCATGCATATGTACATCGGAACTACTTATAAATCTCGGTAAGTATTCTTTTAAGAAAAAAATTAAAAACTGCGTAACCCGCTTTGTCCCGAATTTATAAATTGAAATGATACAAAAAGTGGTTTTATGGAAAAAGTGGTATAATATATTATCGAAATTAATTGGTTTATCTACTGTTAAGGCATTCAAAAAATCTGCAAAAAATACTTGTTCCTTAGAATTCTAGATCTAATCAGAAATAGCTAAATCATTTTGGTATCTGAGAATCTTTTAATTCACCCAGATAAATGAAAAAAGTTTCCCGTCACAATTAATGTCTTTGAAAATTGTCCTGAATACATACCTGCCAACTTTTAATCCTTTCGAGGATCATTTTCCCCAGTGGTAGTAAAATGGAATTTAAATTACAGTTTTAGGAAGAAAAATATATTGTATTTTGGATTCGCGACAGTATTACATATTAATATACATACTTCATTATTTTAAAAATAGTGGTGATCAAAAAGATTAAAAATTAAGTTTATAAATGCAATGAAAGCATACATTTTACTACCACTTTAAAGATGCGAATAAAACTTTACGCCAAATGCGCAAAAGTTGGCAGTTATGTACTATTTTAACCGGTTAACGCCCACCGACATATGTTTAAAACATATGCAGGTGGGCGTTTACCGGTTAAAAACTGGTCACAACCACTACAATTTTATAAGACAAAACCTAAAATTTGCACACATAACCATATAATGCCCGAGAGCAACTAATTAAAGTGCTCATTTAACACCGTGATGCAAAAATTTAAACATTTAGAGTGGTATGTAATTTAAAAGTGTCTGTGAGTACTGCAAAGGGTTATGTTAACGTATACTATACCTGCCAGCATTCATTCGTTTCGAGAATGGATTTTCCAAGTGGTAGTAAAACAATTACCAAAAAACAGTTTTACTCAAAAAGATATTTATATTTTAGCCAGGTTGAAATTCGATATCGTGTGGACTAATATGCTTTTATATATTTGTTGAAATTATTTATATGTAGTGGTGGTCAAACTCATTTATAATTATTAATATAATTCAAAAAGTTTAGTGAAATAACATGAATTTTGCTAGCACTTTAAATATGAAAAAAAAATCTTGCGGTAAAACCGGAAGAGTTGGCAGGTATGGATACACATGTACAGGGTTATTCATAATTCCCTCCGGGCAGGAAATGGACCATTGCATTGATGTATGCCGCGTGACCAAGGGTTCACACATAAAACACCTGAAATGTATGTAAGTAAAACTTGAATAATTTCGGAATAATTTCATATGTTTCTTTTTTTCATATTCGTCTTCTTTTTTTTACTATAACACTCCGAAACCCCGGAGGGAATTATGAATAACCCTGTATAATGTAGTGTACTTGATTTTACTTAAAAAAATAATAATTTCTATTTTAAAATAGTGATTTAGTAGCAATCTTAATAAACTGTATTTTTACTTGCAGGTGAATAATCCACCAGATTTAACTGATATTTAGGACTCTCATCATGATTTTCAAATGAAGCATTCTGCATATCTTTTAAAGGCCTTATAAGAAGTAAGCATCCATTATTCACTTTGAATTCATCTATAATATATTAACCTTTGCTTTGGTTTTATGTGTCCCCAGTCGGTAAACAAAAACAGAAAACTAACATTACTGTTTTTAGCCTTATTATCATAATTACTTTTCCTCTACAATTTAGGTTATAGTTATCTGTTCTAGTTATGTAAAGATTTATCTCCTACTAAAATCTAACTACTGAGATTCTAATTACTGTCAGTTTCAATTAGTTGGCTTTTTTATTGCTCCTTTGTGTGCAAAATAATTTATGGGCTCAAAGAGCTTATAGTTGTTTTTAAAAGCTTTAGCATACATGTTAAAAAAAATTTAATGCATTTTGTTTGGGATTCGCATTCACAAAGCTACCATATCATCGATGGACTTTCTTCCTTGGTTCAAACAGAATACGTTCACATCTTAAAATGCTGTTTTGAAAAAGTAAATGTAGCTCAAAAGGAATATTCAAATGTATAAATATTGCTTAATGTGCGTTTTATTTTTAAAAAAATAGATCATAATGAACTTTTACCTATTTGTTTGGGCATTGTATCAATCCTTTCCGGCGCTGCGTCGTCATTCTTGTTAATTCAACAAATGTTACGAACCACTAGTAATGTAAAAGTAATTGCTTGTATTTGTTCAGCAATCACTATTACTTAGACAGTCAAGCAAAGTGCTTGAAACATTTATAAAAGCAACTCCACTTCCTGCTTACCTCAATGCTCAACCAAAACAGTGTTAAAATTCCAGATGAATGGGATAGGGGTCGCTTCGCGACCCAGGTGCCCAATAAAATCAAAACACTAGGACTAGATTACTTAAACTGTGAGCTCAAGTATGAAGCTTCACTTGCTAATGTGTTACATGATTAAAATTTTCAATCGATATTTGCTGTTTTGGAAAGGGTTGAAATGACGATTTCTTTTCCGAAAAATTAATAATGTTGTAATACAAGTGTTTCATTATTAATATACATTTTACATAAGCAACCTAATTCTATCTAATAATGCTGGACTTGCCAATTTTTACACTTTCCGTGGAAGAATTTCCAGAGTGGTAGTTTATAGCTAGCTGAAATATATTTGTAAATTGAAATAACATTTTGAAATTACTTATTTTTTTCTTCTTATAAAAAACTTGTATTCAGATAAGGGATTTATTTATTTGTTTGTTGTAGTAGTCAAAATGATATTAAATTAAAATTAATAAATTCAAAATTAACAAGGATTTGCTGCAGACAATTCGCAGTTGTTAGTAGCAATACATAAATATTTATTGAAACAGCAATGCTTATTTAAAGCTGAAATGGTAGGGTAACAGACAGAAATGTCCTGTAGGCATAAGCAAATAGTTAATACTACTTTTTTCGTGTATGTACTCTTCATATATAGACTACTTTAACCCTTTAGTGGACCTTATTTCAAGTTAAGTTAAATTGAAGAATTTTTGGAATTGAAATTCATATAAGAATAGTAAATGATACAAGAAAAGAAAAACTCATTCAGCTTATAAAAAAGTTAATTTAAATTTTAATGCCATTTTATGTGAGGTAAGTGTATTTACCACGACCTATTAGGAACTTATTGACTTTTATTTTTCTTTATTTATAAAATAAATCTTGTAAATGCTATTAACTTCAGAAGGAATTATTCACTTTATAACTTTGATACGTTTTCTTATACTAAAAAATGATTACCAATTTTATTCATGCCCACTTCAAGAAAGCTGAAGTTATTAACAAATAGAAACCTAAATTAAAAGTGGTAGAAAAGTTAACATATAGACTTTAATAATTGGTGGTAAGTATACTTACCTTGGCTTTAGAAAGGGTTAAGTGGCTGGACAATAATGTTTACAGAAACTAGACATATGACAAAATGCGATATATCAATGTGCAATGTACCAGAACGTTTTACACATACCTTAGACATTAAAAGGGAGAAGCATATTAAATCGGTATAAAAATTGCTTTTTTTTCAATTTATTTTAAATAAAAAAGCTCTTTAATTGTGTGACAAACGACATGATTCAGGAATTGTGGTCTAACACTTTAACATCCAAGACAAGCTGGTATCTATCCGAAGCTTGGTAAGCCTCGAGTCAAGTCACCATCTCCGAGTCTTATCGGAACTGGTGAAGTAAAACCTGATATGCATAAAAATAACGAAAAAGAAGCTGTTTGCGATTACTAAAATACTTGCTTAAATCATTGAAGCATAAGCTCTTTCTTCGCAGTATAACATTCAGGGGTTAAAAAATTAAGGAACATAAATAATGCTGAATTAGAAATTTTCGAAACTAAATTACGCGAATTGATCAGATTTAAAAGCAGAATACCCCAACTTACATTTGATCATGTTTTCTTATTGAGCTACTATATCCAAATGCCATTAAAATTAGCTCTGCTTAGCCTATAAATTACAGTACTTTTGTAGTACCCGACTTTATTCAAGTCACAAGGTACAGTTTTAAGCAAAAATGTAGTTTAACATAAAAAAAAGACTTAAATTGTCAACGTAACATAAGAACAATACATAAAGGAGAACATAGAAAATAAATTCTCTCTTAATTTTAAACTAAAGAAAAAATCGATAGTATAAGGATTAAATCGAATTTTTTACAAATTGTGGTTCACAAACAGCCCATACTATTATTCAATTATCTCTAACTAATATGGAAACTGCTTGCAATTATTTTCATGCAATTTCTGATGCATGGCAACTATACTCAAATAAAATGTAGTGAAAAGGGAAAAAATGGTCGGAAACCTTTATGATCCATCTACTTGGTTGTAAATGAGTATATATATATATATATATATATATATATATATGTATATATANACCCATGTATATATACACACATATATATATATATATATATATCACCTTTTGAAATCAAATGTCAGCATTGTTACATAACCAGAGGAGAAAAATGACCAAAATCCATTTAGTCAAAAATGAAATACGACGTAAGCCCATTATTTTTTCGATGCTGAGCACATCCCTTTGGAGACCTCCAGCTGTTTTATTACCCTTGTTTCCATTCTCTTTTCTTGGAACAGTTTTCTTTTAATGACGAAGGAGAGAGCAGGTAAAACGAGAGCAACAAACATTCTAAGAGGCCTGGGAAAAAAGGATGGACTGAAGAAGGCTCTGGCCAATCGATCGAACGATAACCGCAGGGACTTGGGTGATTGAATCGATTGCGACAGAGAAAAAATAAATTTGATTCCACCTTTAAGGCATAAGAATATTTCTCAATTTGTTTAAATGTAGTACCCATTCAGTTTTATTTGCTGTCGTGTAATTTCATTTCTTCACCAATTCTATTCCCAAGCGTTAGATAATTTAATAAACTTTATATCTTTCAGAACCTTCTAAATCTTATTAATTTCCATTTTTAAGATTTTTATTTTTCAGAATATTTTTAAGAGATATTTGTCTTAGTGATAGCGAACGAAAATTGAAATTTTTAAAAGTAAATCGTGACTCTTTCTACTCTTACGTATGATTACAAGCATATTGACAACATTCGGTGATCAAAGTCCTGTAAAAAAATTTATTGTCAATTTACTTTGAACAATCAAAGGTATAAATTTAATTTAAGGAAAAGAGAAAGTTTAATTTTTTTCATTTCACTTTAAGAAAAAAATCACGGTTTACAGTTTTAGAATTATTTAAAATAATTTAATTTGTTAACTTGTCGAGTAAGTTAAAATATCTCGTTTCCCACTAATACAGGTAATTTTATCTCAAAAAGTTTATTTTAATAAACGTTGGTACCCGACCATTGTTTTATCATTCTTGGCAACTTTTACTCATTTGACATAAAATTTTATTTCTATTTTTAAAGTGGTAGTACAGCGTATGCTTTCCATTTATTCCTAACATTTATGTACTTAATTTATAATCTTTTTGTCCACCACTATTTTCAAAACATATAATATTATATATGAACATGCTATACTGATCTTGGTTCGAATGAGCTCATCCGAAATAAAAAATATGTTTCTTTCTAAAGTTGTAATTTAAATTTCATTTTTTTACCTCTTGGGGAAAATCAACCTCTAAAGGATTAAATGTTGGTAGGTATGCTTTATATTGATTAAACGAAGAATACATAAATACGAAGGAATAAATGTATCTACCTCTATGAAAAATCTGGTTTTGGTATCAGGAAGATTTTGCAGTAGTTATGGTAAACAATCTACTTTTACAGGGATGACAACTGCTCCACTTTTTGGAAAAAAAGTTTAATAAATTGGTAGTGAGTTAAATAGTAAAGCTTGTAGAATAAGAATAATTACGCCTACTTTTTAAAAGAATAACCAAGAGAAAATTGATTTTAGTTGTATATTACGATTTGTAGATGTGAATATTTAATTGAAAAGCAAATTACTAAACTGAAAATAACTTAAATTTTGTTTCCACTAGAAAATTTTATTTTATTTTACTTTGCATAAACAAGCTGGCATCTCTGTACTTACCTTAATATCATAATTTGTATAAGAGACTATTACTATTAACGTTGATTAATCCATTATGGATTAGCATTACAAATTTACAACATTTGCAGCTGCCTAAAAATACATTTATAAAAGAATGGTTGGTATTTCTTCTTAATATAAAATTTTATATGTTCTGGTATTTTTTACCAATTTACTTTTTAAATTCTGTAGTCCCTTAAACCACACCCTCCAGCATTCGAAGTTTTTATCAAATAGTTTTTCCACTGGTAGTGAGCTATGTCGGAAATTGGTAAAATAAATAGAATTTTTAAAAAAGTTTTATAAGACCTTTAAAACCGTAATCCTTTAAACATATGTTCGTCTGTTTGTATGAAAAAACGAAGAATTTTTTAAAGTTCTTATTTATCGCATTATTAATGCAAGATTTTTAGAGATGAACATTATTAAATTATTTTCTGAAACTACCGAAATTTCGTAGTAGTTAGAAGGGTTAAACTTAACCCTTAACGGTAGAGAGGGACTC